CGCTTAACCGACTGCGCCACCCAGGCGCCCCAAGTTTACACTGTTTTATTAAGTTTATCCAAAGCACATTATTCTTTTTGATGCTGTTGTGAATGATGGGTTTTGTAATTTTGTGTTTGTTTTTAAATTTTAATGTTTGTTTATTTTTTGAGAGAGAGAGCTGTGGGGAGGAGCAGAGAGAGAGGGAGACACAGAATCGGAAGCAGGCTCCAGGCTCTGAGCTGTCAGCACAGAGCCCGATGCAGGGCTCGAACTCGTGAACCACGAGATGATGACCTAAGCTGAAGTCGGACGCTCAACCGACTGAGCCACCCAGCCACCCCGAGGATGCTTTATATTTCTTTTTCTTGCCTTTCCTGCCCTGGCTAGTACCTCTAGTACAGTGTTGAACAGAAGTGGTAAGAATGGACATCTTTGTGTTGTTTCTGATCTTGGGAGGAAAGCATTCATTGTTTTTACCATTAAATCTGATATTAGCTGTGGGTTTCTCATAAAGGCTTTTTCAAGTTGAGCAAGTTCCCATTTATTCCTAGTTTGTTGAGTGCTTTTATCATGGAATGGTGTTGGATTTTGTCAAATGCTTTTTCTGCATCTATTAGATAATCATGTAATTAAAAATTCTACTGATATTATGTGTGGTATTTATGTTCAGATATTGAACCAACTTTGCATTCATGGGATAAATTCCACTTGGATGTGGTATATAATCTTTTTTATATGTTGCTGGATTCAGTTTACTAGTATTTTGTTGAGGATTTTTGTGTCTATGTTTATAAGGAATATTTGTCTGTAATTTTCTTGTGATATCTTTGTCTGGTTTTGGTATTAGGGTAATACTGGCTTTAAAAAATGAGTTGAGGGGCACCTGGGTGACTCAGTTAAGCGTCTGACTTAGCTCAGGTCATGATCTTGCAGTTGGTGGGTTCGAGCCCCATGTCTGGCTTTGTGTTGACAGCTCAGAGCCTGGAGCCTGCTTCGGATTTTGTGTCTCTCTCTCTGTTCCTCCCCCACTAATGTTCTCTTTCTCAAAAATAAATAAACATTAAAAAAATTTTAAAAATGAGTTGGGAGTGTTCCCTTTTGTTTTTGGGGAAGAGTTGGTAAAGAACTGGTATTAACTCAGAAGCGAAGATATTTGGGCTTGGTGGGCTTTTCTCTGTGGGTAGATTTCTGGTTACTATTTTTTTTTTTTTAACGTTTATTTATTTTTGAGACAGAGACACAGCATGAACGGGGGAGGGTCAGAGAGAGGGAGACACAGAGTCGGAAACAGGCTCCAGGCTCGGAGCCGTCAGCACAGAGCCCGACGCGGGGCTCGAACTCACGGACCGCGAGATCATGACCTGAGCCGAAGTCGGCCGCTCAACCGACTGAGCCACCCAGGCGCCCCTCTGGTTACTAATTTTAATCTCTTCACTTGTCATGTCTACGTAGGTAGTCTACGTCTGTCTACTCAGGTAATCTATTTTTTCTCGAGTCAGTTTTAGAAGTTTGTGCCTTTCTAGGAATTTGTCCATTCCACCTACGTTATCTAATGTGTTGGTGTACCCTTGTTTGTAGCATTCCTGTTAAGCCTTTTTATTTCTGTAATGTCAGCAGTAATGTCCCTTTGTTCATTTCTGATTTTAGTCATTTGCGTTTAGTAATTGAGTAATTTTTTTTCCTTGCTTGATCTAGCTAAAGGTTTATCAGTTTTGTTGGACTTTTCGAAGAACCAACTTCTGGTTTCCTTTATAATGTCTGTTTTTCTATTTTCTATTTCATGAATTTTCTCCCTCCTGCTTGATCTAGGTTTAGCTTGTCCTTCATTTCCACTGTCTTAAAGTGGAAGATTAAGCTATTAATTTGAGATCTTTTTTCTTTCTTAAAGTATGCATTTACAACTGCAAAATTCCCTCTAATCACTGGTTCCACTGCCCCCCGTAAGTTTTGGTATGTTGTGTCTTTATTTTCATAAATAATTGTTCTATCCAGTATTGAAAGTAGGACGTTGAAGTGTTCAACTATTACTGTTTAGTGGTCCATTTCTCCCTTCATTTCTTCCAGTTTTTTACTTTATGTATCTTGGTGCTCTAATTATTATACCTTCCTGATAGATTGACCCTTGGATCATTACGCATTGTCCCTCTTTATCTCTAGTAATGTTTTTAAGTCTATTTTATCTGATATGAGTATAGCTATTTCAGCTTTCTTTCTGTTGCTCTTGGTATGATCTTTTTCCATCCTTCTGTATTCCACTATTGGTTTCTTTAAATCGAAATGCTATCTCCTGTAGACAACGTTTAGTTGAACCATGTTGTATTTTTAACCCAGTCTGACAATTTCTGCCTTTTCCTTTGATTGTTTCATCCACTCCTCTTTAATGCTGTTATTGATACAGTCGGATTTATGTCAGCCCTTGTACTTTTTGCTTTCTGTGTGGTTTGTGTCTCTTTGCTTATCTAGTCCTCCTTTACTGCTTCCTTTTGCATGAAATGGATATTTTCTAATGTAGCGTTTTAGTTTCTTTAATGTTTTTTCACTATTTAAAATTCTTTTTAATGTTTATTTTTGATAGAGGCGCGAGTGACGAAGGGGCAGAGAGAACGGGAGACACAGAATCCCAAGCACGCTCCGGGCTCTGAGCTGTCAGCACAGTGCCTGACACGGGGCTTGAACTCATGAGCTGTAAGATGACCCCAGCCGAAGTCAGATGCTTACCTGAGCCACCCAGGCGCCCCTGTTTTTTCAGTTTTTTAAAGTAGTTGCTCTAGGGTTTACCATTCACAGTTTAGCTCACCAGAATCAGTTTCAGATTTACACTAGCTTAATTGTAGTGACCTACTACATTTCTACATACTACATAGAAACATTATTTCTATATAGATCTATTCCGTTTTCCCTACTTTTGTGTATTATTGTTATACCCATCACATCTATTAACGTTACAAACCCAAGTATATGTTGTCACGTTACTTTACTAATTGCAGTCATTTCCTTAGCCCAATATAGCTTTGCTCCCACCCATCTCCTTTGTGTTGTTATTGACAAATATTACATTTCTGTATGTTACAGGCCCAACATGTTAACTCCTACAGTTGCTTTTCAATTAGTTAAAAGAAGGAAGGAGAGAAATGTGCACTTACACTTTAAACATAATTACCTTTATTCGTGCATAATTACCTTTGTTTTCTTTGTGTGGAGTCACATAATCATGTAGGATCATTTCCTTGCAGCCTGAAGAACATCTTTTAATAGTTCTTGTAAGGTGGGTTTGCTAATGACAGATTGTCTTAGCTTTTGTTTATCTGGGAAAATCCTTACTTGGCTTTCATTTTTGAAAGATAGTTTTACCAAATATAGGATTCTTGGCTGATGCTTTTTTTGCTTTGAACAATTTGAATATTGTTATTCCACTGCTTCTGGCCTTCATTGCTTCTACTGAGAAGCTAGCCGCTAATCTTTTTGGGAGTCCTTTGTAGGTGACGAGTCATTTTTCTCTTGATGCTTTCAAGATTTTCTCCTTGTTTTTGACTTACAGCCTTTTTTTAAAATCATAGCATATTTGTGGATCCCTTGGTGTTTATCATATTGGGGTTTATTGAGTTTCTTGGATGTATAGATTATTTTTTTTTAAAAATTTTTTAACGTTTATTTATTTTTGAGACAGAGACAGAGCATGAACAGAGGAGGAGCAGAGAGAGGGAGACACAGAATCTGAAACAGGCTCCAGGCTCTGAGCTGTGAGCACAGAGCCCGACGCGGGGCTCGAACTCACGGACCGTGAGATCATGACCTGAGCCGAAGTCGGACGCTTAACCGACCAAGCCACCCGGGTGCCCCGTATAGATTATTTTTCAATAAACTTGGGAAGTTTTTCTGCCATTATGAAAAAAAATGTTTTCTTTGCTTTTTCTCTCCTCTCATCCTTGTACTTCTATTACATGTATGTTGATGCACTTTTTGGTGTCTTCTATTTCTCTGGGAGTAGTTCATACTTCTTCATTCTTTTTCTTTCCTGTTTTTCAGCTTGCGTAATCTCTACCAATCTAGCAATTCATGTTCTTTAATTCTTCTGCTGGTTTAAGTCTGCTGAGCCCTTCTCATGAACTTCTGATTTCAGTTTTTGTACTTTTCACCTCCACAATTTCAGTTGGACTCTTTTTTATATAGTTTCTGTTGCCCTATTAGTATTCTCTATATTGTGTGGCATTGTTATCATATCTTCCTTTACTTTTTATTTTAAAGTTTTATTTATTTAGAGAGAGAGATTGGGTGAAGTGCAGAGGGACAGAGAGAGAGAATCCCAAGCAGGCACCTCGCCATCAGCAAGGATCCCCACGCAGGGCTCGAACTCAGGAACCGTGAGATCGTGGCCTGAGCTGAAACCAAGAGTTGGACGCTTAACCTACAGGAGTCCCTATTTCTTTCTTTATTTCTTAGTGACTGGCTGGATTATTTGAGTGAAGCCTATTTTTCCCTGCTAGCGTCCAGCCTCTGATGCCATTTGCTCCTCAGGGAGACGCAGCTTCGAGTACAACCACAGTTACCCTGGGATGACTGGTGTTTATAACGCTCTCTTCCTTGCTTTTCTTGACCACGCCCAGCTGTTCAGCTCCACTCATGGCTGGTTGATGGCTCTATTGTTTTCAACACACTCAGAGGTGTAAATTGCCCTACAAATGAATCCAATCAAATTGTGGCTCCTTGGAAGGAATAGTTTCTGAGGTCTGTGTTTGAAGTATGTTTGGGCCCCCGCAAAGGTTTCTCCCAGCTGTCAGTCCTGCAGGCTAGCTAGCCTGCAGTCGAGCTGTATTATCTTCAGTAAGTCCCTGAATCTCTCTCCACTTGCTTTTCTCTGCAGACTCCATTTGTGTAGAGAGCAGATCTTAGGTTTGAACTCCGTCAGGTTCTGCTGCAAAGGAAGTCTGCTCCCGTGGGCAGAATACTATGAGCTGTTTTATGCCCCCGCCCCCCTGGGGAGAATCTGAGCCAAGGCTATGGAGCTGGGGATGGGGACGATGGCGAATCCCTCTCTGAGCGCCACCTTGCCTGTGGGAGCCAAGCACCAGCAGCCTGAGGTCCTCTTGGTTTGCCTCTCCTGGTGTGGAAGCTCTCCCTCAAAAGCTGAGCCAAGAGTAATCGGGGGGATGAGGTCTGAGGGTGACGGTGGGGTTCATGGGGTTCAGCGCTGACGGCCAAGAAAGAATTCTTGAAGATGTCTTTGGTGCAAAAAGGTGATTTTTATTAAAGCACTGGGATAGGACCCGTGGGCAGGAAGAGCTGCCCTGGCGTTGTGTAGAATGGCTGGTTACCTACTGTGGACTTTGGGGGAAGTAAAGTCAAAAGAGAAGTTTCCAAAGAGTCTTTCATAGGCTACGGACTTACAGATGATTGGAGGCCTAGCTGTTGTCAAGCTCAGGTGGTTTTTCCCTCTAGCAAAGCATTAACAACATTAAGACAGTAGGGAGTCTTTGGAGAAACGTTCCACTCCATACTGGCTTCAGGTATTTGTCAACGGGGCTGCAGGTTATAAGAAACTTGAATTTGACCTGCTGGTTTCCTTCTTGCCTTTGCTCCCCCTGTCACTGTGGAGGGGTGATGTTGGGGCCCCAGGAAATTGAGTCTGTAGGTTTCTGGAGATTAGGCTATTGATAAGATTGCTGTTTTCTCGTAATTTGCCGAGGTATTTGTAAACTGGTGGAGACTGGAGTTTAACCGTTTGTTTTCGGTCCTTTCCTTTATGCTTGGGCAGCCAGGAGCACCTGAGGGATGTCACACATATCCCGCCTGGGGGGTAGGGGTGATGCCAGCTTGTGCTTGGCCCTCAGCTTGCCTTATTGTTCCTCATCAGGGCGCCCCCCCCCCCATATTCTCAGCATGCCGTGGCCGTCCACTTCTCAACTGCACTCACCCGGAACTTAGCCTCAGCAACAGTGGCGAGGGACAGGGTGAGAAGTGCTGAGGTCCTGTTCCTCCTGGGAGGAAGGCCCTCTAACTGGGCTCGATGGGAGAGGGAGCCCTATGTTCCTGGATGCAGCAGTCGGGTCTGGAGTGTCTGCTGAGCCGAGAGAGAGGGGAGGGAGGCAGTGGTCTTCATTCAAATAGCACATATCGCTGCCTTTCTTATCAAATTTTCATAGATTTTCTTGCGTAGATGTTTCGTCCTTGGCTGTTGGAACCTTAGAACCCTTAGAACCATCTCCAGAGCTTTACATGTTTTTGTTTGTTGTTGTTGTTTTAGTTTTTCATCAGTTTCATTGGAGAAGGATCAGTGGATCTTCTCATGCTGTCAGGCTAGAATTTCCTGTCTCTAACTTCTTTATTCTGGAACAACCTTAAAGAGGCTGCTACAGAGCTCCCGGACCAAGGCAATCAAATACTGTTTTGGCCCAATCTAGTTTCCTAATTAACTGAACATAAGCCTTAATACGGTACCTCTTCCAGCAAAGCTACCTGTTCGACTGCTGGGTGTTCGGATTCCTGATTCCGTGTACTCCGTAGCCGAGATGATAATTACTCAAGCCCCTCTCTCTCTGGTCTCCCTGCCTGTCTGTTTGCTCTCCCCTAATTTATTCTGCACACATCAGTCAGAATGGTTTTTAGAAAGAACAGATTTGGTTACGACCTTACACCGCTTGAATGTTTGATTGGTTTCCCATCTTACACTGAAGTTCAAAATCCTTACCGCGTACTACGAGACCCCATTTATTTCTTCCATTTCCTCCTGTGCCCCTTTCTCTCTGTGCCCCACTTCCTGCTGCTTTTCTCCCCACATCCCACACCAGCACATACTCTAGTCTCACAACTAGCTTTTCCAGTTCCTCTTGCGCACTTCCCTTGGCTGTGTTCTATTTCAGGCCCTTTGCACCCAGAGTTCTCTTTGCCTTAAGCTTCTCTTAACTTCTGGTTCAGTCTTGCTTGAATGTCACCTCCTCTGAGGAGGCTTCCCTCACCTCCCAGAATAGCTCAGGTTCTCCTGCTCTGATGGCATTCTGACACACCATATTTCCTAGAATGTGTGTTTTTGATCAACTGATTACTAGGATGGTTATTTAGCCTACGTCTTCCCTGTAGAACACGAACTCGTGAAAGCAGGGATCCTGTCTGTCTTGACCACTCTATGCCCAGTGCCCCTGGCACAGGGTAGGGACTCCATAAATACTGTTGAGTGTGGGAATGAATGCTGTATGGGGGCGGAGGATGCCAGGTATGGGAGGGTGGTCCTGGGGCTTGACGTAGAGCTTGATAGGGGACCAGGAGAAAAGTTCAGAAGAACGCTCCTTGCCACTTACCTTCATGACTGCAACCTGGTCTTACCCAGGGTCTTCTACCCTTGACACTGTGGTCCCTGAGCCTGCTTTAACTCAGATTTGGAATCGTGAGGTGGGGAATATAGATTGAGACAGTGATGATTTTTATTAAAAAAAAAAGTAAACAACATCAACTATAATTGCTACTTTTAAGTGTGCTCTTTGTGACAGACATAAATTATTTCAAAGCAATCTGTATTAATTTCAGGCAGTAGGCACTTTTATTTCCATTGGGTAAATAAACTAAACTTTGGAGACATTAAGTGCCTGGCTCAAAGACACGTGATGAGTAGAGATTCAAACGCGTGTCTGTTAGGCACCAGCAGTCAAATTCTTAACCTCTGTTCTGTATTGCCAAGGGATTCTAGAGTTCTGTAAGTGATTTCTTGCTGTCTGACGGTCTCCTGAAACTTATGTGAACTTTCATCTGAAGTGCCTTTTGAAACTTCTACCTGTAAGTGCCTCATGAGAGGGAGGTTTTCTTTTCATCTCTTATCATTAGATCATTGAAAACTAAAATCTCTTCGAAGCTTTCTGTGTTTGAGTAGCCTTTCTTACTCTAGACTTTCTTGATTTTACACGGACGTTATCAGGAAGCCAAACACAACAAAAACAGTAGGAAAAGCCCCTTGACTGTGCTAATAAGGCAGCACGTAAACAAAGGTGGAAGAGAACACGCAGGGGTTTTGTCTCCTCTAAGCCCTATTTAAACTTACTACCTCTAAAACCTTTTAAGTTGGGAAAATGCTTCTCAAAGGTCTTAGAACCCAAAGGAGGGTAGGTTTGAAACCCTATCTACAGGATGAGGTTTTGGGGAGATAATCAGTGAAAGCACAGACTTAAATTAATAAATGAGAGGGTTGGGGCACCTGGGTGGCTCTCAGTTGGTTAAGCGTCCGACGTCGGCTCAGGTCATGATCTCGCGGTTCACGGGTTCCAGCCCCGCGTCGGGCTCTGTGCCGACAGCTCGGAGCCTGGAGCCTCCTTCAGATTCTGTGTCTCCCTCTCTCTCTGGCTTGCCATGCTCGCGGGCTCTGTCTTTCTCAAAAATAAATTAAAAAAAAGAGGCTTCTTTTCTTAGCAACGTGGTAAGTGCCTTGAAGTCCTCACGTTCTAGAATCCTTGCTAACTGGTCACTGAGAGAAATTCCTCGGATAGATCTTTAAGTTAAAAAGCCAAAATTAAATAAAACACCGGGTAAAGTCTTTCTGCCGCCAAAAGTGTTCAAAACTTGACTTAGTTGAAGATGTCTGATCCTTGTTTAAACTTCACCCTAATTACAGACACTTTTAAAGTGTATGCGTGCCAGTGCTTAACATATTTATTCATTCATTTGTATGCATAAAAATAGAAACAAAAATGGCGCATCATCTCACTTTCCAGAAGACTTCTCCTGTTGTTGTTTTTTTTCTAAATTAGACTAATATACATACCTGGTAATAAAACGTAAACCATCCAGGAAGATATAAAAAATAAAAGCATCTTCCCACCATCACCCAGTCTCTCCACCAGGTCACCCCATTATTTTTCTTCTGCATCTCTCCAGAAAAACTGTGTGTACCTGTGTAACAAAATATGTTCTTGCGAAAAATAGACCAAAAATATATAAACGTGTATGTGCAAATGTATGTACAAAGTATACACACGTAAGAAAAAATATATTCCTTTGAAAATCAAAATATATAAATATATTTGTACAAATATATGTGTGAGACATATACATAGACATGCCACATTCTTTTAAATTTTGCTTTTTCATTTTTAAAATGCCTTGGCGATCTTATAAACCAGTAAATAGAGGCCAACTGTGTTTTTAAAAAATTTTTTTTTCAACGTTTTTTATTTATTTTTGGGACAGAGAGACAGAGCATGAACGGGGGAGGGGCAGAGAGAGAGGGAGACACAGAATCGGAAACAGGCTCCAGGCTCCGAGCCATCAGCCCAGAGCCCGACGCGGGGCTCGAACTCACGGAGCGCGAGATCGTGACCTGGCTGAAGTCGGACGCTTAACCGACTGCGCCACCCAGGCGCCCCCAACTGTGTTTTTAAAATTTTTAACTATTTTTCGACATGATTACAAGCTTATAGGAAAGTTGAAACTAATATACCGACATATGAAGCAAATCACAACTTTTTCCCTGAATGGTTTGAGAATAAGTTACTGACCTGATGCCCCCGTCACAACTGAATACTCTAGAGTATGTTTTCCTGCAAAGATGCTTCCCTACATAACCATGATACGGTGAGTGATCAAAATCAGAAAAGTAGTATCAGCATTAATTACTTTTGTCAGATGATTCCGGTTTTGTCTGTTGCTCAACCATGGCTTTAATAGCAGGAGGACCCAGTTCAGAATCACAGGGTGCGGTTAGCTGTCGTGTCTCTGTAATCTGCTTCAGTCCGGAGCATGCCTCTTGCATTTTGTGACTGTTACACTTGACAATTGCAGGCCAGCTCTTGGGTAAAATGCCCTCCATGTGGGTTTGTGTGTGATGTCTCTTTGTGATTAGACTCTGGCTCCGCATCTTTGGCAGGAAGGATGCACCGTGTGTGTGTGTGTGTGTGTGATTGCTGATGATGTTTGCTTTATCGCTTGATTAGAGTGGTGTTTGCCAGGCTTCCCCTCTTTGAAGTTACTCCTCTTTCTCTTTGTAATTAATAAGTATTTGTGAGGAGGGACTTTGAAACCGTGTACATATCCCGTTATGCGCTAAACTTTTAATTAATTAGTTAATATCTATATGGATGTAGGTTTCTGTGTTTTTCAAGGGGTTGTT